TCACAGCTCAAGCATCTCTGCGAGGGACAACCTGCCAGCTGGGGCACGTTGAATCCAAACGTCCCTGAGCACAGGAGCTAGGGGCTGAGTTTGACCCACTAGGGAAGACCCAGAGTTCAGAGCCTTCACTGCTGTCAGGCAACAACCCCCTCCCCAGACCCACACCTGGGCGCTCCATTCCAAGGTCAGTTCCTTCAGATGGGTTCCCAGACGCTCCACCATGTGGTTGGCTTTCATGGATCAGTAACCCAACAGGCTAGACCACTGGCTCATACGCAGGACACAGAATTGGAAGGTGTCTCCTGAGCCATGGCGCATAATCCCTGGCTATCACAGGCAACCCCCTCTCACATTTATGATCAGGACTATACCAGGCTCCATCTTAAAACTAGTTAGGCTGATTGGCCCCTTGCAGGTGACTAGGGAAATCTCCGTTGCAGTGACAATTAGCTAGCCCTCATGTTCTGGGGGAACATGTTCAGAACAGTTCTGTGCCAAGCTTCCCCAGGGAAAGCCAGGTGAGGGATAAACCAGACATCAGACCCAACACAGGTCTTGAAACTCTATTTAGGAAAGAGTATGTATGTGCAGCCACATTCGCATTCTCAGCAGCCAGTCCCTACACCTTCCTTGTAACCCCAAGATCCCAGTCCCATCCTCCCCGCTCCGCCCAAAGCCCCCTACTATCACATCCCATCCCATCCCATCCCATCCCATCCCATCCCATCCCATCCCGGCTTCCCAACTCGCTAACAAGTGCTCTGTTCCCAACTGTCAGCTCAGCTGCACAAGCCCCCAGCCCCTCCCATCATGAGGGATGCTGGCAGCTCCTCTCCTCAGCCTAACTGGGGAAAGGGGGAGGGGCGCACTCAAGAACCTTCATCCTTAGCCCTAAAGGAGCAATCAATTCCTCTTCTGCCCCTCTGGAAGCAGACACATAAGCTCCTTCTTCCTCCAAGGGACCAATGATTAAGAACCACAAATCCCATAAGGTCCCACTCCGCTTGCGGTGCACTAAGCCACCAGCTGGAATATTCAGCACCCCCTAGCTCCTGAACTGAGCCACACCGAGACACCCAATTCAAAGGACAGCAAACAGCACAAAAGGTTTTTTGGAGGGGAGGGATTCGTTTTCGATGTGGGGTCTAAAACGTGTTCCTAAAGGGTCAGCAGCAGGATTTAAATGCCCAGTTCTGTTCCTGCTAACTCCTGGGAGCGAAGTGCAGTCTTGACTCATCAGTTACTGCGGTCAGGTTGTCGCCGCTTCCTTAGGAGAGGTGCTGTTCAGAGGCATGGGCACAGGACTTGGCATCAAGGAACCCGCCACCACATCTTCCGCTGCGGCACCAATAGAGCTTTACACCCGATTTATACCAGCTGTGGACCTGGCCACTGGAATTCCAGCCTTAGCTGTGACAGAGACCCTCAGCTTTCTGGGCCTAGTGGCTTAGCTTCCCAAAGGTGCCGGGAGAATTAGTCCCAGTGCTCCAGAGGTACAGCATGCTAGAGGATGTTAACAAACAGTTCACTCAGCAGGAGCATTAGCATCAGCCTTAAAGGTGGTCTGAGGAGAAGCTAAACCAACGAGAGCGCCTCCTCTCTCAGTACTGCAGTGACATTACCATGAGATTATAATTCTGTCTCTTGCTGATGCCCGGATTGCTACGCAGTTTCCCACAAGGGGGTCTCCTGTACTTTGAAGCAGCTGCTGTCAGAGACGGGATATTGGGCTAGATGGATCACTGGTGCAAGCTGGACATCAGTAAAGGGCCATGCATGCCTGCATCAGCCTGCCACCGGTGACCTTCAAACAGTGCCCATTGGGGGTGAGAAGAGAGGACCAATTGGGGAGTGCTAGCCACGCTCTCTTTGGCTACTGCTGCGGGGATATCCTCTACCTGGCTGCAGAGATGCTGCAGGCAGAACACCCTGGATCATCACCAGATTAATTGCTCAGGCTCTTCCCCTCCTAAGACTGGTCACCACCACCAGGCACACACGCAGTGCATCAGTGCGGGGCGGCTTCAGTCGCACGTGACCATGCCCACTGCAGACGTAACCCCAGCCCAGGGGAGGGCGGAGATACTTCGCGCGTTCCTTCCCAGTTTGTGAAAACTGCTTATTCCGCCTCCTTCGCTGGCGGATTTAAGTACAGCTAAATCCGTGCAGGAGGAATTCTCTGCCATCTCCGCCAATCCCCTGGCCTGAAGCATCAGCAAAGCAGATTGGAGGCAAGGCAGCCCCCCCCCGCCCCCCTTCCCCGACCCTGCAGTGCAAGCCTCCTTGATCTAGGCAGGGTGATGTCACTGGCAGCCAATCAGAAAGCCCGTGTGTGCGCACATGCATGGGGAGGGGGTGTGAGGATGCCACAGATGGCTCCAGCTGGGCCAAGCATTTGATTAATCGCCTGAATTACCCTCACTTTGCCATAAAATCAAGGGGGGGGGGGGAATAAACAGTAAAAAGAGGAGCAACTGCAGAGAGCAAGCAGCAAATGGAGAGGCCTCGGGAGAAAGCTTATTGTTAAACGGCCCCGCATACACCTGGGGAAATGCAAAGCCAGGGGCGGGAGTAGCCCCATGCGCAGAGGGGGAGAGAACAGCGGATGGGCCAGGAGCTGTGCAGTTGCTGTTGCTACGGGGGGGGGGGGAATAAACAGTAAAAAGAGGAGCAACTGCAGAGAGCAAGCAGCAAATGGAGAGGCCTCGGGAGAAAGCTTATTGTTAAACGGCCCCGCATACACCTGGGGAAATGCAAAGCCAGGGGCGGGAGTAGCCCCATGCGCAGAGGGGGAGAGAACAGCGGATGGGCCAGGAGCTGTGCAGTTGCTGTTGCTACGTCATCACATGCCCCCCGCCATCACATGTTGGCTGGCCCCGAAGGAACCCCTTGGCAGGTGACCCAAAGGGAGCTGCTGCAGCAGGAGCGCTGCTCTGCCTGCTTGGGAACCGCCAGCCCAATGGGCCCCCGGCCTGAAAGAGCAAAGAGCCCAGGCCGATCCTGTCATGCACGGACAAGGCAAGCAGCAGCAGCCAGGAGAGACGGTGGATCTCAGGAATGGGTCCTAGTGGAAGGGGCTAGGGCACCCCCTTTAGAAATGGGCAATACCAGCGGTAAAGAGGCAACAAACGGGGCCTGACTGGTTTAGATTTTCCCCAACCCTCAGCATACCTCTATAGGTGAAAGCGGGAAGAGTCGGCACCAAGCCCGTCCCACCCCCCGGGCCAGGCATGCGGCTCCCCTATAGCTGGATGGCATGGCACACAAAAGGAGGGGAAGTGTCTTGGCACCCCAGCGGCAGACCAGCCCTGCCCCAACCCTCCCTCGCCTGCAGTTTACCCTGCACACCATTCGCTCTCATTGAGGGGACTCCCACTTGAAAGGATTATCCCCCTTTAACCCCTGGACTCCCAGAGGCAGGGCTGCGAGCAGGTGGGTTCTGCTCTGCGGCTGTGGCGGGGCGGGTCTGTCAGGCAAGGGGCTAAGGGAAACGAAGCGAGAGTGGTGCGGCAAGTGGAGCTCACAAGCGCCACTGCCCACAGGGGAGCGAGGAGATGAGCAGAGCACAGCCGAGTGCCTGGGCCTCGGGGCAAAGTCCACGCTTGTGTGTGTGTGGGGGGGGAGGCTTGCTCCTGGCAGCACCAAAGAAGCCATCGCAGCTCCTGCACCATTTCAAATCAAGGCGGGCCTGAACCCGCACCACGGGGGCCATCTGAGCCTCCCCCCAACTCTGGGACTCAGCCCAACAAGGGGGAGAGCCAGGAAAAAGCACTGGACAGAGGGACGTTAGCTGTCATTTAACTGAACAGTCGCGCAACCGCACAAAATCTTATCAGTTACACGATCATTGGCTAGTTCCCAGGAGCAGGGCCGGAAGCCACTGAGCTCCTAGCCCCACACCTAGAGAGCTCCCTGGTAACCCAGGCTATCGCCTCTGTATCAGAGGCAGCAGTGCAGGGTGGCAGGCAGGATCTGGTCCGCAAGAGGAGCTGGGTTTAAAAACCAGCTCCCCACTCAGACCGGCTTTCACCCGCCGCCCCGCGCTGTTCCCTCTCCTGTCTCCGCGAAGCCAGTGTTCATGGGGAGCCAGCTTTTAAGTCTGCCTCTGCACTGCCTCTGCAAGGCGGGGGGGAGGGGAAGGGAAGGGAAGAGAGGGAGGTGGCTCCGCATGAGACAATATGCGCGAGGAGCTGACTCGAAAGTAGCTTCCTTGTGTACCGGCTCCCGCCTGCTCCCCCCACCCTCCGTGCTGCTGCCTCTCTATCAGAGGCAGCAGCGAAGGGAAGGGAGGGGCAGGCAGCTCTGCAGGATCCGGTGCTCACGGGCATCGGCTCCCGCATCCTTCCCTTACCCCCCTCCCTCCCTCTGCTGCCTCTAATACAAAGGCAGCGGGGGCGGGGGGAGTGCGTGTAGACTTTAGGATTAACTGATAAGCCCAGGGTTATTGGTTAACCGTTTACACGACTATGCTAACGTCCCAACTGGACAGGGGTGCTGGCGTCACAAGGGAGGAGGGTTACAGGTCCCTGAAGAGGGCCAGCGATGGAAGAGAGAGGGAGGATTTTTAGTGGGGACTGAGCACTTGCTACAAGAGGGTTGTGGGGGTTGGTTTGCCAATGCAATGCCCCTCGCCCAGTGTTGGCCCACCTGTCAGTCACTCCCTCACCTGCAACAGCCACAAGACAGTAGAGCAATATGACAGGGCAGCCTCCTTTAACAGGTCACCCGCCCTGCGCCCTGCCCCATTAATAGGCAAGAACTCTATGGGCTATGGACGCGAGGAGGGGGGTGGGCGCAGAAAGAAGACTACTGCTCTGCCTGTGAGAGATGGCAGCCCCAGGCAGGGCCGGAGGGCAGTGGCTGGGTTCCACTCAAGGGGACTGGAAGGAGCAGCACAAGAGCAAGCCCTCAGCAGACACTTCTGGGCTGTGGCCCTACATGATGCCCAGTGCTCACTCAGGCCAGGCGGAAAGGCACACCAGGGGCAGATGAGGAGCAGCCTTTGTCCTGCGGAAGCCGCCTCTTGACCAGCTTGGAGCAGCAGATGTTGACGGAGCTGAGGACGTGCCAGGAGTTATACTCCACGAAGGAGCGGCTGTCAATGACCAAGGTGCCCTCGGCCCCGTTCCTCAGGAGGCTGGCCAGCTTCTTAGCATCCATCACTTTGCATGGGAGTCTGTCCCCGGCCATAACGGACCCGTCCCCTCCGCGGTGACTGGGAGGGAGGGAGGAAAGGCCAGGGGCAGGGAATCCAGCACCAATCTCCCAGAGGAGAGAGGGGACGGGACGTAGCGTGAGCAAGGCAGCACCTGTCCTGATCTTGCCACGCTGCTAAAGCCCAGGATGCCAGGTCATCGTGCCGGACCTGTTGAGAAATGAGGAGGGGGAAACCCAGAGTCAGGTGTGATGACAGCACGGGCAGCCCTGGGAATTCACCTGAAAACAAGTGTCCAGAGACCAGACCCAATGGGGTTACTCACGATTTACACCACAGTGGCCAGGGACGGAACCTGGCCCGGACTAGCACTTTCTACTAGGGATGTGAACAACTGTTTATTTGTGTAACTGCCGGAAATTTTAGCGGTTACACGTTTACACACGGGGTGGGAGCAGGCAGGAGCCAATGCTTAGGGGGAGCAGACTTTTAAGCCAGCTCCGTGCAAACACGGGCTACCGCCTTGCCCCGCCCCTACTGCCTCTGATAAAAAGGCAGGAGTGCGGGGGGTGCGGGGAGAAAGCTCTGTGGGAGCCAGCATGCACGGGAAGCTGGCTTAAAAGCTGGCTCTCCACAGGCACTGGCTCCCTCCTCCCCCGCCTCACTGCCTCTGATAGGCATAGTCGTTATGATTAGGGTTGCCAGATGGTTTAAAAAAAATACTGGACAAAAAATTGTCGAGCAAAAGAAAAAAAAAAGACCACCAGAGAGTAACCAGGGAGACCTGGTGGGGGGAAGGGGGAAGAATTCAGGAGGTCGGACCGAAATGTCCTGAGCAGGCTTCTGTCGGGCACTGAGCTGGGCCCGGGAAAAGCAGAAAAACTTCCTTAATTAGGAAATACCGGACATTTATGTGTCCGGTAATTTCTCAATTTGTTTACCAGACACAAAGTCCAAATATCAGACTGTCCGGTTCAATACCAGACACCTGGCAACCCTAGTTATGATTAACTGATAAACCTAGGTTAATCACATAACCGACTACACACTGGCACTCCTACTTCTAAAAGGGAACGTCAAGGTACATTAACCTATAAAACTGATCAGCCAGCTGAGCACCAAGGTGGAAATGGCCCATCTGATTAGCAGAGCACCCCCAGATAGGTTGTTTTTGTGGTGCATAATTGCACATGCCTGTAAAAATTTATTCCACACATGGATAAAAAAAATCTGCACATGCATGGAAAAGATTAAAGGGAAAATTAAAAGGACAGAGCAAGGACTGTTACACCCCCATCCCCTGGTGGAAATCCATGGAGTATCAGGCTACTCCCATTTTCTCCACCTGTAGCATTAGTCCTATAGAAAAGCCTTTCAAATGACAACTGGTATCAGAGTCCAGACACACAAAGAGAAGGATGTGGATTTCTGATCTGGGTCACCCAGCAGCAAAACAGTGAACTTGACTATCATTTAATGGTAATCTTATAGACTAACAGATGTATTGGAGCATAAGCTTTCATGGGCAAAGATCCACTTCATCAGATGCATGTAGTGGAAATTCCAGGGGCGGGTATAAATATACAGGCATAAGAAAAAGAGTATCAATCAAGAGTAAGGCTGGAGCTAACGAGGTCAGTTCAATCAGGAAGGATGAGGCCCACTTCTAGCAGCTGATGTGGAGATGTGAACACCAAGAGAGGAGAAATTGCTTTTGTAGTTGCCTAGCCATTCACAGTTCTTGTTTAATCCTAAACTGATGGTGTCAAATTTGCAGATGAACTGTAGCTCAGCAGTTTCTCTTCGAAGTCTGTTCTTGAAGCTTTTTTGTTGCAAGATGGCTACCTTTAAATCTGCTACTGTGTGTCCAGGGAGACTGAAGTGTTCTCCTACAGGTTTTTGTGTATTACCATTCCTGATATCAAAAAAGCTTCAGGTGCCACAGGACTCTTCATTGCTTTTACATATCCAGACTAACATGACTACCCCTCTGATATTTAATGGTAATAATCAGCTCTGATGTCAACTCCCACTTAAAACCAAGAGAAGGAAAATCACTGTTCTGCTGCTGCTGCTATTTCAGTCTTTATTGTTTACTTGTATTATGCTAGCATACTGCGGTACCAAGCGAGATCAGGCCTCGTCATGCTAGAGGCACAGTACGCAAAACATATGGTCAGAGAATCTCTGCCCCAAAAAGAGTTTTCCATCTCAGTAGAGAGGACAATGGTAGACACTTAATACCACATCCATGTATTTTGGGAGGGCCCTTCTTAGCCCGTCGAGCGAGAAATCCCTCTCTTTAAAGGTAAGGGATTCTAGAGAACACAGTGGACGTCCATGACATAAATCCTCAGCATATGGGTTTGTTCAACACCATAAGGCGTCTGTTAGCTCTGCTGATCAGCTGCTGTACACTATTAAATCCCCCTCTTCTGGGAACAGCATGAGCAGTCCCCCAAAACACTAGATCTAGATCCCCCAACCCGCCAGTGCCAAGATTCATGCTCCCAGCTTCAGAACACAATAGAAACTATATACCAACCCCCTCCCTCCTCCCGCCCCAAACCTCCTACCACCCATTGCCATAATAAACGTAGCTTAAAAGCCCTCCAGGAAATGATGACGACAGCTCCCTTACAGCCCAGAAAGCACTTCACGGCTTTGTGCAATCACAGCGCCCGTCCCCTCTGCGGGCCTGCCCCATTGTGCGCTTGTATTGCTTTCGCTCTCAGCACTTGGACTCCAATTAGAGCTCCGCTACCCCTTCCAGGGCCAGCTCACAATCCTGCCCCACCAGGGCTGTTCATACACACCTCCCTCCTCTGAGTCGCTCTTCTAGGGCGGGTTTCAAAAACTGAAACAGTTCTAATGAAGGGGCGGGAGGGGGCTGGCTCCTGCTGTGATATGACACACCTCATTATGTAGTAACAGCCTCGCCAGAGACCCCCCACTGCACTTGGGCTATGGAGCCAGGGCAATCAAAAAGGATGCAGATTAGCTGGCTTTTGCCATGTTCCTCTCCCTCTCTCTGCTCCTGCCCCTTCTCCATCAGGGAATACAAGCTGCCAATTCCCCTCCGGATTCCTCAAACGCCAGCCAAGAAAAATATGAATGGGAGGAGATACACAATGGGGTGGGGATAATGTTCAGACGGAGGGATAAGTATGAAAGGCTGGAGTGGGAGGGAACCGTGAAACCACAGGGTCAGGAAAGGAGGAGAAAGACAGCTTAATAACTAGGGAGATAAACTCCTGTGTCCCCACTCCCCCAGACCATGAACAATGGGTAGCTTTGGGGTTTGCAGACACAATCGGAGGGGCCTGGTGAAGGTAACACCCTAAGGATGTTAAGAGGAGGGTAACTGACTAATTGTGTAGTCAATACAATTGGTATTGGCTACACGATTAGTCGATAAGGGGCCCCACTGCGGCTCTGCAGTTTAAATGTCGTAAGAGCCAGGTGCTCTGGCAGCCCAGCTCTTACTTCATTTAAACTGCAGAGCCGCTGCAGGGGTGGGTCCAGGACCCAGTGCAAGCCAGGACTCAGCAGTTCCAGCTCGCACTAGGCCCCAGACCACTGTGCCTCTGCTTTTAAAAATGTTTTAAGAGCCACCTGGCTCTTACTACATTTAAAAAGGCAGAGCTGCAGCGGGGGTCCCAGCAGTTCCGGCTAGCGCCAGGTCCCAGACTGCTGCATCTCTGCTCCCCTTCCAACTCCTCTCACCCTGCGAGGTCAAGTAGTGACTCAACTATTCGCTTACATGCCTATAACACTCCCCTTATCTCCTAATTGCTGAAAGAAACCCCCCTTTGGAAAAGGTTGTGCATGACACATTCTGACAGGCCAGCAAGCATTTGGAAGGGTGAAGCCAGAGGTGCTGGGGAAAGAATGCACAGAAAAGCAGCCAGCCCCCACTTATCACTCCCGACTGCCCCAGAGAGGACCTCGGTGTACACAGGTGGTGTGTGCTCTCCCCTCATTCCACCTCTTCCAAAACAAAGGCTGCATGGATAGCCCAACAGCTCAGTCCAGAGAATCCACCATCCCCCTCACCCTAGAGGGTTGTTTATTTTAGACAGATGCTTGTTCATTCTGAGCCTAACCCCAGTCAGCATCACGGCAGGCAGAGCAGTTTACTGGATTAGGTAGCACTATATGGGACCATGGGACTCAGCACAGATGGGTTTTTTTTCCGGCTCTGCTATGAGACTTGGGGCAAGCAACCTCACCTCTCTGAGCCCCCTTCACTCCCTCTGTGTCTTGGACTGTAAGTTTTCTGGAGCAGGGACGCTCCCTATGTTTGTAGGATGCCACGCACAATGAGGTCACAATCTCAGCGGTAGACTTTGGGCGCTAATACAAAAAAATATATCAAATTATGCCTGGCTGTGGCAACACGGTGCCAAACAGAGAAGGTGGCACCATCCCTGAGCTAAAGTCTTCAGAATCTCTATTGCTGGTGATGCAGGAACCAGAAAATGCTGCATCTTTACACTAGTTCCTCCTCCCCTCCCATTTCTCACGCTGCCCACCACTGCTTCTGCCTAGTGTATGGATGGTAAGTAGCACAGACAGAGGCTGCTGGCCCTCGTTATTAACATTACAGAAACATCTAGGAACCCTGATCAGCAATCAAGGCCCCATTGTGCTACGGGCTGTACACACCAAGAACAGAGTTCCTGCTTCAGCATCAACCAGGAAGCAGCAGCGGTGGCACTTGGTACTTTTACCTCTGTGCTGTGCAGCCCCAAACAAGCGTGTCTCCTTGATGGGCTGGCAAAAACACCAATGGCTGTTGCTAACTGCTCTTTGCTATTGTTCTCAGCCTCGCCAAATCCAGTGGAGATACAACGGGGACAGCAATTGCAGGGGATTGTGAGGAAGGGATGCAAGGGAAGCTAGTAGGCAAGGCCAACAGAGCCCAGTAGAGCTTGTACATCTCAGACAGGGCTTGTAGGACTGGCAGCTAAAAAAAATCTCAAGGCCCTGGAAGGTCTCCTGTTAACTCACCACCATGGCAGGATGCCACCAGCTCCAAAGGGGGGAAAACGGTTAACCCGAAACCTAAATTGGGGTTTCAGAAACTAAGCGGTGTCCCTCTCTCATCAGTTTATTAAAACTGCCTTAATCTTCTTGAGCATTCCTGAAGCCCATTACCATAATCCTTTAATCCCACCTCTAAGGCCCTGGAAGGTCTCCTGTTAACT